AATCATAATATCAAATGAGAATAAAATCGAAAAAAGGAGATAAAATTAAAGAGGTAACTTTGTGAATTTCTTCTATTGAGTCAACTTTATTAAATCGTGTTTTCATTGGATACATTCCCTAGAATATATCCTCAACAATATCAATAAATTTTCCTAGATTTTAATTTCACTGCTTAATCCGTCAAAAAATAATTCTAATAACGTGTTTTGCAGTACCTCCCGGCCTTAAATAAAGTAACTTAACTTACTATCCGATGACCGGCCAAATAAATAAAGGTCCGAATATCTTATTGTTCCCGGATTATTCTTTTACGGATATTTACTTAAGTAAATACTTTAGGTAACTGAAACTCACTCAAATTCATCCTGTTTCATATTACGCGCGCGTGCTCATTGATCAAATCAATCCGTTTCCTTTCTGTTACACAATTCCGATTGAAGACAACCAAGAGGAAAGCTGTCATCATCATCAATAGCCTTTAATAGTCCACTACTGGACATATCCCTCTTCTTAGAAAGGAGGTTTTGGTCTACTATACCAGACGGGTTGGTACTCGTATAGCGTTTGTTTCAAGTTTTCTTTTTCTTTGCAGTGATATTTTTCTGCGCAGTCTACTCCCTTAGTCGGCTCTTACGACGACATGAATAGGGGAGACACTACGCATTCCTTATCCGTCACCATACGGACAATATATGTAATGTGTAAATAAAAATATGGACCCTTGCTATGCTTCCAACGTTCCATGCTATTTCCCAGCGCTTTAATAGTTCAACTTCCTATTTAAATCTTGCTTGAAGTTGATTGATAGTATCATTTTGAGTTACCATGGACGGGCAATGGGATACTCGGCCATTAGCGACCTACTTTTAAACCTATTTTTCAATCAATTTCTCGTTGTTATTCGTTAGTTGTATATTTTATGTATTTGTCAGTAGTTAGATTTTTTTATCAAGGTACAAACGTATCAAGGTTGCGTTGAGGATATTAAAGGATCTGCGTGACTTAAAAGGATTTATTTTTATCTTAATTATCTCACATTGTAACCCGTTCAAGGTTATAATTAATGAAATAAAAACATTTTATGTGAAATTCCATTATGACGTCATTACTCATCACTTCGTCAGAAATCGTGACTGGGCTTATGATCTAGTGGTTAATGAACCTGACTGCTAAATCAAAGATCGTGAGTTCAATTCTACCTAGTTAGTCTAGTTCAAGACAAATAATTGGATTATGAGTACGATTGTTCTACATCTGTTGTAGTTGTTACGCACGGTTGGTGTTGTACCCTGCTCATTCCACAGGAACACAATATCCGGATAAAAAGCCTATGTGCTATCCCAGACTATAATCGATCTCCTGTGCCAAATTTCATCCAGAGTCTTTCAGTCGTTTTTGCGTAAAAGAGTAACAAACTTCCATAAATACTTTTGCCATTCTATTATTGGTAAGTCTGTGTTTCTAACTTATGAAATGACGAACTTTATTTTACCCTTTAGTTGTGAGATTTCCAAAAATCCTTTCTTAATGGCTGCTTACAACATAGAAAGCATCAGCTGCCAAAATTTCAAGTTTCTAGCCCCAGCGGTTTAGACACTAGGTAATTTGTATGGATTCAATATGTGTATTAATAAAATATCAAAGATCGTCTGACTGTCGAATTTCGACCGATTTGAATGTATTGTTTTATTTCATTCATCAATGTTACTTAAACTGTCATTGTTTAGACTTTTGTACAATGACCGATCAAAATATATACTGGACCTCAATAGTTTTGTTATAATTTTTTAACTTTTAGCACGTTTTGTTTAAAAACTATACCTTTCTGCAACTGACTGCCTCGGAGGTGCAGTGGCAGCCTATGCGACTGTTGTGCTAAGGTCTCGGTTTCGATGCCCGGCTCGAACCAAATGTTTGTATGATCTAAAAATATTTGTTTCGGAGTTTGGGTGTTTTCTATGTATAATATGCATGTATTTATATTATAAGGTACATATATCTATGTATTCTATCAGTCAATCTAGTTTTCATAGTACAAGCTATGCTTAGTTTGAAATTAGAAGGCGTTGTGTGGCAGATGTTGGAAAATATTATAAATATTTTATTATAATTCTTCTACATATGAACAGTGAACAGTGAAATATGACATCAACCGAGCGCCATATTAGTTAAAAAAAATCATTACATATTAAGTAATATGAACAAAGATAAAAATAATCATAGAAAATAAAATGGATCAAATTTATAACGAAACGAAATAACATAATAAACTTGATAATGTTTAATCATCAGATCTTTGCGTGAGAGTATGGCGGGAAACTGGTATCAATTAAATGTACCTACTTATAACTAATTCTGCTTTACTACTTGTGTGTGTGTGTGTGTGTTGTTGTGTACAGAGTTTACGTTCCTTTAAATTATCACTGAAATTGTTCTGATACAGCATCCCGCTTCTATCTTCCTAAATAATTCATTTATTTTATATTTTTTGACAGGTATGTTGCTCTAGTGGTTAGTGACCCTGACTGCTAAACCAGAGGTTAGATTCACATCCAGGACATATAAATGTGTGATGAACACGACTATTTGGTCTGTGTCTGGTTGTAATTTATCTATAATATTTATGTATGTATTTAGAAATATGAAGGCATGTCTATCAGCAGTCTGGTTACCACAGTGCAGGCTCTGCCTAGAGGTTTTGATAGATTCGACAATTAGAGTTTATTTACCGATATACATCAAAAAACTTAAAAAAAAATCACAAATAGTTTAAAAAACATATTTTAAACAAACAAATAGTACAACAAACTTTTGAGTAAGTTTATAATTAAATTATATTTACATGGTCTACTGAAAAAAAAGACATTTTTTATACGAATCACTATACGTAGGATCTATGACATGCTATGTAACATTTGCAACCCTCAGGAGCAGAGCAGTGACTATAAACAAAAGTGAAATTGAAAGTTACGGTTAGTTTGAATATAAAATTGTCTATGCCTCACGAATATGATAAAAATTCAACAACTTTTTTTAAAAATCTCATTAAAATATTAAAAAAAAGAATAATGACGCATTTAATTGTGCAACTGTCACGACTCAAGACTCATATCCAGTGATGATGTAACCATAACGTTTTAATAAAGTTACCGCTCATTACCATTGTACATTACCGTAGTATATATAACAAGCTATTTCACTTGGCTTAGCTCGCATTATTATTTCTTATTTCGTGTTTCTAACTTTCAAAACGGCGCCCTTCCTGACAAACGTTCACCCCTTATTTTACCCCCTTAGAGGTGAAATTTCCAAAATCCTTTCTTAGTGGGTGCTCACAGTAAAAAGGATCTGCTGTCAAAAGTTCAAGTTTGTAACCCCAGCGGTTTCCCAGTTGATTAATCAGTGAGTCAGGGCTAGTTATTAAACATATGTATAGTATACATGTATACTATACTACTGTATAGAATACATTTTGTTTATTAGAGTTCAGAGGGCTCGGAGTTCGAGGCAACAGTCGGTTCGAGATCCTAGCTTGCGTCAGCTATTACTTACACTTCGTAAGCCATTTGTATTAGGCAATAATATAATAATATTTCTGACATTTGACACACAACGCCCTCTAGTTTCAAAATAAGCAGAACCTGTGCTATGAAAGCTAGATTGACTGTTAGAATACCTATATAGTTTTTTTTTTGTAAATACACACGTATTATACATAGAACACACCAAAACTCCAAACAAATATTGGCAGACCTTACAAACACTTGGTCCGACCCGGGAATCGATCTCGAGACCTCAGCACAGAAGTCAGATACGCTACCACTGCACCACCGATACAGTTAATTGCAGAAAGCTACAGGTTTTAAACGAAACGTGCTATAAATTAAAAAAATATAATAAAACGTCTGGTTAAAACTATCCAGTATATATTTTGATCGGTCATTTTACAAAAGTCTAAACAATGACAGTTTAAGTAACATTGATGAATGAAATAAAACAATACATTCAAATCGGTCGAATTTACTAAAACGCCCGGTTGACGGCTTGCCTTGTCGAAATAGAACTAATACGGCCCTTCAGGTTAAGAGTCGTGATTCTATGTATGTATAAATAAAATAATATAAATGTATTTTACAGTACATAAAATAATAAATCAACGTTTTGTGCTTAACATTCGTGACGGGCACGGCAGCAACGTTTACACTAACTGTATTATACACGGCACAGTGACACAGTGATGAATAACATTTACTGGCATTTAAAAACAATGACCAATTAAACTTCCATCGAAATTATCATTAAAAGGAGGAAATGGACTACTAGAATTTGTGGGTGGAAACCCTGATTTTGCAAATGTTGTTACGGTGACCACTTACCCTCAAGTGAGTGCTTTTTCATCACATTAGTGGCATCAAATATTGTATAAGAGATAGGTAACTAATAGGTTAAGTTTTTATAAAGCTTAACGCTCTGTTAAGGTTTGATTTCAATAATACAAAATATATTTATCATTACTTTAAATCAGGTAATATTTTAGTATAAGTGTACTCTATAATTACTTTAAAAGGGACTATAATAGGGCATGTACCTCCACCATAGATACTTACGGAGACAACTATGTTTAGAAAAAGTAATTAAAACTTGTTTATGTTAAAATAGTGCGATAAACTTCTTTGTTTTGATGACACACATTGTCCTTTTATTCTCAAAGGATCGCGTTGGAACAAGGTTTGTATTTAAATAAACTTATCATTTATTTCTAGTTGATGACAAAATATTTCATAGATGTTTTTATAAGTTTTTTTGTGTCATTGACAAAGAATAGGCAAGTTAGAGTTTGCCAACTCAACTTGTTATTCAAGTATTCTTTATTTGAATAAAAATAAAAAACAAACACTATAGTTTCGAAAAACGTAAAACAATATTTATGGTTTTAATTTTAAACTGGCAGAATAGAGCGTAAATAGATAATCAAAAACTGAAAAAAAAAAAAACAAACCTCGAATTAGCTCTTGTCATTTTGGTCCCATTCGCGCCAAATTCAATTTCACTACCGCTAAAACTTTTGACTAAAGGCACGTCGCCTTCCGCCATTTTTAATGTAAAATAAACACTAATTAAATAGTCAAAATAGTTTTTGTTGGAATGTTAACGTCCGAACGGTTTTCGGTTTCGCGCGCGAGCGTTCTACGCGGCGTACGACGATATACTGAAGGTTTCTACGATTATTTTATTGATGTTAATATAACGATGGACGGCATGGCCGCTGGTACAAGATAACATGTGATCGCTGGACGTTGTTGTGTCAGTGATAATTGAATAGGTTTATGCGAGAATGCGAGATGGTATGACCAATGATTGATTGTTTTTGTTCTCGTTGGTGTTTGTTTGTCCAAGTTTCGTTTAACATACAATTTTACCGTAATATTTTTTACATTTTTACTGTGCCCTATTTATACCTTTTAAAATTGCCTTAATGAACTAAAATTTCTTTTAACAATCGATTAATTTTGTAGCTTATGAGGGAATCGTCTGCATTAGACAAGCAATAGTTTTAGACTTGATGGGGGATAATTTCGTTTAAGACAGGTTATCGAACATTACACTTTCGCTTTCCATGATATATAATTATGTATACTTCGGCAATTAACATGATCACATAATAATCTCGACCAGGTTGCACTAGACATCACAGACCAGTGGCTAAACACGACCCGGTGGAATTGTCAGATGATTCAAATTTATTTAAATACTTGTTACGTGGTTGTAATAGTATACAGATTATCAAACTACTTCTTTATCCATGCTAAAAACCTAATTAAGAAAAAAAAAGGGTCTTATTAATTAATATTATGTTTGTAGGACATCTTATCACAAAGCTCATCGGAATACTTCATATACAATGGATTGCAAACAATACTGCCCAGTTACGTAACTCCCTGCCCGACTTTTATGGCCCAGTTCATTATTACTTAACTCTGACGGGTTAGTCGTGTTCAACTAATACCAATAAGTGTCTCGTACACAGTTGTACATACATAATTATGCTGCTTACTTTCCTGAGACAGGAACTGGTTGGAAAAAAATAGCGTTACAACAATAAATTGTAATGTTACATCTCACGTTAGTTGGAGAAAATGGAACAAGACACACTGTTGACTTGATTTAAACATCTAATATTAAATTCTCAATTCTCAAAAATACTTTTTGTAGTTTAAAACATATTCTGATAAGTCGTAGACTATTGATTTGATACTAAAAATGAACAATAAGTAAATTCCAATGAGAAGAAAACGTTTTGTAATCCTTTATTCAGAGAAAGTTATATACAATAGTCTCTTCGACGATTCATGATAACGAACATGTTTTACTCAAATGAACTCAATAAATCAGTACAAGCTTATAAAAATCACTTAATCTCTGCTAAATTTGTCTCATTTATATGTAGAATGATGTTCAATACTTAACTCTTAGAAATGTAGTTTGTAAATAGTTGACTATATTATATAACCATTTTACCAATACTTTCTTGAAATAAAAACCAATAACACGAATCAACTGAACGTTACAAAAACAACAACTACTACTAATAACAATTTAACAAACTTTTGTAACAACTGAATATAATGTTTAATTACATTATTTAGTTGCACAATACAAGAAATATAGGATCCTTTTATGATGTAGAAATTTTACCTTCAGTACAGCTGCATTCTAACGCATTTATGCAATGAAAGTTGAATAAACAAAACTGTTTTGCACGCCCTCAATTTTATACACCTGATGGTAGCGACATACGCCCTTAATACAATGTCATTTATTTATATGTCATTTTATATATGAAAGGCACAGTAGTTATATATAATTTAGTATAATATAATTGTAAATTTATAGATTTAAAGATTTTAGAATACATGATATAAAATCAATAATTCTTATATTTCTGGCTTATTCATCACATCACATCATCATCAACAGCCTTTAATAGTCCACTGCTGGTCATAGGCTTCTCCTTAGAAAGGAGGTTCTGGCTTATTAATATTAGAAAAATATAACAGAAAATTGCAGGTAATCGAATTGGGTTATAAAACCTACCTACCTTGATTTTAACCTCTTGGGAGAGGCCTATGTCCAGCAGTGGACTGCGATAGGCTGTTGATGATGATGATAAATTGGGTTATATAATATTAAAATACTTTACTCATCGTTTCTTGTATGCTATTTTTTTATTATGTATGATTATTTTCAGTTAATGTAGATGAGAGAAAATTAATGGAAAAACAAAATTGCGATATCTTAAATGAAAAATTCGAAAATTTTGGTAAATATATTAAATAAAAAACAGGATCTTATTATCTTATATGCCGCGTTAAAATGTTATCAGGTTTTATCAGATATTCCTATTTATTCTTTTTCCACATTTTCACTTGCGTTTGATGTCAGTTAAAGGGTCTACAATATTTATAGCCTACAATCTTCCTTAAGATATTGTCCATCAAATGTATTTATTACCAATTTTTCAAATCAATATTAGTTTAAGTGATTAGTACGTTCAACAATTAAGCAAACGGTTAAGCTTCACTATGGTTGAGGCCACTAGCCTTCGTTCGTGTTACAAAAATATTTCAAATACAAAATATTCTTGGGAAAACTCTAGGCAAATAATAATATATACATATGTGAATACATGCAGGTAATTTCTTTTTTTTAATGCACGTTGGCTCACTCTCACAGCAAGCCGTCCAAACACGTCACACAGATAATCTTGAGTTTGTACCAAGCGGTGTCATCCGCCGTATTTTTGGTAAATCCCGCGCAAAATAAGCTCTGTATTACGTGAACAGGAAGTACGTAAAGGGAGGCACAAAGTCCAAGTTTCGCCCACCTACTCGTATTCGGTGAATGGAAGGGGCCTGGTAGATGTCCCATTAAATTTTATTAACATTTCTATTAGTAAATACATATTTTTAAATGTTGATACATTTATAAAAGTTAGACTATACAACAAGGCCCTACCAAATCAGCAGCCAGATATTTGTTCTTAAGCTGCACACGCCCATTAAATCTGAACTTCAGAGAAACCCTTCTACATTGCTCACTAAAGTAGTTTTCCAAGTTGAAAATCTCAATTTTCCACGCTACTACTGAGAATTTCCAAAAAGACTCCAGATAAGTCCAGCAGGTAGCTTCAGCGTCATAATCTAACCAAGAAACATCATATTTGTAACTGGTCTCCTTGTCTAGAGGAGAGTGATCCTGATTGCTATCCGATTCTCAAACAGGACATAATTGTATGATGAGCACGCTCTTTCATTCTGTGTTTAATTTATCTTTAATATGTATGTATTTAGAAGTAAGTATGTTTATCAGTAGTCCGATTACCGTAGTATAGACTCTGCCTTGTTTAGGATCAGCCGGCAGTGTGCGAGATGTGTGAATAAAAAAGGTCTGTCAGTGTACGCAAACACACATTGGAACATACATATAAGTTGTTTTGTGACTTTTATCAAAGTAACGATTCTGAAGAACCCACAACATCGAGAGATAAACAAAACAAATACAAACAACAAAAAACCGAACGTTATTATTGTTTATATATTATTTATATGTTTGTTTTGTTCATTTTACGATGTTGTGAGTTCTTCCGAATTAAGATAATAATGACACAATATAAACATTTTGCTTTTTACTGACTTAAAAACTATCAATCTAGCCTACTGCGTGTTATTTTAAGCAGATCGTTTTTTTTAAGACATAATGAGCAAACGAGCAGGGTCACCTCATGGTAAGTGACTACCTACATCGTTATCAACAGCCTTTACCAGTCCACTGCTGGGCATAGGCCTCCCCTTAGAAAAGAGGTTTTGGCCTACTATACCACGCTCGCCAGACGTATAGGGTTTTTTAGGGTTACCTGCAATTGAAGAGTCACAAGTGCAATGCCTTTTGAGGTACGTTGTTCTTGAAGGCTTCAAGGTCATATCGGTCCGGAAATACGACAAGTTAGGTATCATCTATGTAGTATACCCTTATTATTATTAAGATGCCGAATACAGGTTTAGCCGCTTCGAAGTTTTTACACAGCACTTATGTAGGTGTAGGTGATAATAAGAATATACATGCAATGACTCACATGTTAAAGCAAGTCAAAGTCGTCAGTCCAGCTGTTTACTCTTTGTGTCGATGATAATAAATATGACATTTACATAATAAAATATTCAATAACATTTGATGAAAACAGGTCCTCTATAACACAATATTACGAAAATAAACAATATTGATTGTAGGAAGCTTATCATAAATCGATAAAAATGGTAGAAATAGTGACGTCAATATTTTAGGTGTGCCACAGGGTAGCATTTTTGGACCCCTCTTGTTTTTATATCATGTTTATGAACTTCTAGTATTATAGACTACTTGAAAGTAATGACTGAACATGATGCAACCATTGATAGTGATCTTAATAGTTATTTAAATGATGAAAGTGTAGCAGATAAGTATCTAAACTTTTTATAATAATAAAACTAGCTGACCCGGCAAACGTTGTTTTGCCATATACCTACATTATTTCTAGGAAATATTTTTTTTTCAGTTTAATAAAAAGTTGAATCATAATAAAAAATCATAATGAAATAAAAATAAAAAAACTGTCAAAAAATATTGAGGGGTAGGTCGCCTTTATCACTTAGGGGTATGAAAAATAGATGTTGACCGATTCTACGACCTACCCGATATGCACAAAAAAATCATAAATATCGGTCCAGACTTTTCGAGGGAGTTTGGTAACAAACACTGCGACACGAGAATTTTATATATTAGATGTTAATTTATAATAAATAAAACAAAGTTCCCATAGAAATAACTATGTGTAATAGAACGCGAAAGTTTAAAAGTCTTATTTTTTTATTATTTATTTATGACACACAATACAATGGTTATGTATGAATAGTATTGTTCGTTTCAGTTTTGGTATTTGATGTATATTGATACTGCTATATAGATACATACAATACATACAGCACTCTACTAAGAATATTATTTCTACATCAGTTGGTATACATATAGTAATATTGTTACTGAGATACTAAAAGGTC